GTATTTTTTATGATTTTAGCTTGTGTCCCATTCGAAAACCTGTACGATTCTGAATGAAAACAAAATGGAATGCGCATCGCAGAAAGGGACTCAACAATGGGGAAGCCTCGAACATTTAATTTGTCCAGCCACTCCCTAGGCAAGGCAGAAGCCAGCCCGGGATTCGAACACCGGAACGTGCGCGTGGTGAGCTGGCCTCTTGCCACCACACCACCTACACAGGTGCAGCGAACACGCATTGAAAAGGCTCTATGAGTAGAAGTCGAGTACATGGCGTACCCCGCGACATAATATAGGCATGAACAATATTTACAAAACCTTGCATAAATATAGCCGAAAAGTGGCAATCTTATTCCGTTTATTTATGAAGTTCATATATTAGGTATATTTAATTCAGTGTCCAGTTTGGTGATGACCAGTTCCAGATCGAAGAATAAAATTAGAAAATAAATAGAAAAGAAAATTCGGCCATAAAAAAATCGAAGCTCTAAACGCACTTTTTCAATGCCACAACCTAGTACGTAATCATTATGATTATGCACGAAACCCAAGAGAGAGAACAAGTGTAAGCCAGCCACTAGTAAAAAGCGCTATAAATGCAAGTAGAGAACTATATGAAAACCCAGTTAAGTCCAAATGATATGAGGATTTAATCCTAATTCACAACTAGTCGATCACAATGAATGGAAAACATCACAATTATAATGATTAGCTGAAAAATATGCAGTAATAGAGCCATAAAAATGCATGCAAAAAAGCAGAAAAAAAAACATAGCCACCTTTAGACCTGCTCATCTGACCAAACAGAATATGATGAATATCACCTATACATGAAGAAAGAGATGAAATGGATAGAACAAGAACAAAAAAAGTCGAGTATTAATCACTCTCTGAGCCATCGCTAATGAAGCCAACCGTCTCCTCCGTCCTCAGAGGTTTGAACCCCTAAAATGATCAGTTAAAGTACTATGAAACAAAAGACAGGAGCAATCACACCGAAACTAGGGCGCTAACGTACTTGGGGAAGGGGGACCAACTGGCATCTCTGTGTGTCTCTAGAACCGCGTTCATACTTTGCGACCAAGAAGATTCCGTTTGGGAGACTCGGCGATATGAGAATTGTGCGATGAGGGAAGTATAGGTATCGATCTGGTCCCTGCGGAGGATGAAGCGATCCGGCGATTTGAGAGACTCGGCGATCCAGCATTTCGGGATATCGCCGAATCTCCGCCGCAACCGCTAGCGACCAGCGCCAGTCGATACCCATCCATTCCTTTTGCGCGCGATCGTCCGGCAACTTCGGGTCTACCAAATCGCTGAATATCCCAAATCACCGATCTCTTCATTCGCTAAGTATGAACGCGCCGTAACTGAGGCTCAGAGTGTGTTCGTAATTTGGTCGCTCGGATCGCGCGAGTTATTTGGCCGCGCGACCAGAGCTATCAAATCGCAAAGTATGGACGCACTTTTAGGCTTACCAGAGCTGTCTTTTCTGCGAGACTACCCCTCGACCACTCCTGTACTCTAAGCCTGAGCCTTGGTTAGTCCAAAGAAAGAGGGCATCATTGCTGTGGAAAAGTGATTGTCGCGAACGTCACTTGCTGAAGGGATGAGTGGAGTGTGGCCAAATACCCTCTCGCAGCCCTTTCACCAGTGACACTAGCAACAACCGCTCGCCTCCAGCGACCCTGCCCACTACCTTTAAGGAACGCAAGTGTGCGACCAAGTGGCTCCCAACCACGTTAGCGGTGAAACTAGTTTTAGCTTGGTGGATGCCAAAGTCATCCACTTATCGATATACTGCAAGCTAAAACTAGTTTCTAAGTGAATCAGCGGAACTGAAAATAAGCCACCACTACACGTAGGCATACTCATGCAAGCGAAATGTGTACGATTACGTTTCTGCAGACTGCACAACGGTGAGCATAACACTTACACTATACGGTGGGTGGATCCTTGCCGTGTGCGATATGAGCAAGCCAGCAGCAATATAGCACAATCTTTCAAATGAACGCGGCAGTGATGGTCGAGTTTTGTGATAGCTTGAGGTTCAGGAGGGCCCGTCTGTCGTTCGATGCACGATAAACGCACGCCACAACCACGTCGTGGAGCTAACCGTACGATTATACTCGGACGCATAGCTGTTTGTGTGGCGTATGGCGTGACTAAGAAACGCGTATCGGAATCGAAAAGCGGTCATAAACATAAGACAGAGTATCACAAACCCCTAGCTTCATTGTCGTGCATGTTCTAACAACAAGAGTGCTACTGCTACTTTTCTATTGCTGCAGGCCTGCTCACGTCGCATATATCAGACGTTCCCAGTTCTCATATGATCGCGCACTGTTGGTTTATGAGGTATTTGGGGGAATTCGAAGCATCCCCAACAAAAATGGGATTTTCAGGGTTTGTCCCAAGTAGGTCTTGAAGTAAATTGGCACAGCTTGGAAAACCATGAATTTCGAAGGGATGCCAGAAAGGGAAAGGATAGGGCAACAAGGAGAGAGGCTCACACAACAATGCGCCACAATACATCTAAATACGGGTGGTCAAGAGCAATATTTTTCTCCAAAGCAGAGTGTCAAGGAAAATGAACAGAGCAACAGGATTAACGAAAAAACAGAGGTTTTCAGCAACATAGGACCACTACCAACAAGCCAAAAAAAATTGAGAACCAAGCTCAAAGAACGCATTATAATGTTTGAAGAATTAGATTTGGAGAAAGAAGCCCTCATAATAAGCTTTTCAGTTTCCTGGATAACTACGAAGGAGTTATTATGTTTGACTGAAGCTTGATTCAACCTTATCAAACTTGATTAATTACACTGCTTAAAGCGAAAAGGTCTTCGCAGTCATAACAAGGTCACTGACTCAGCAGTGGGTCACGCTTCGCCTCCACTGGAACCTGGATATTTTGCCTTCCTGGCAATCCATGATACCACAGAAAGGGTACAGCATCGTGGTGTGTTTAATTACGGTGTAGATACGACCCCTCCCACCTAAATGAGGGTCTCGTACGACCCCCCCCCCCTCCTTCCCTAACACCCTACTTACCAATTTCCCACATTTCCCCAGTTTTTCTCGCAAAAATTTTGCTGTCGAGCGGGGAACATAGTACACATGAAACAGGAAAAATCATGAAAAGTCAACAACTGCTAACGGGAAAAATTTTTCCCAACACGGCAAATTTCTCTCAATGGCACATACGACCCCTCTCCTCCCTTGCGGTACGACCCCCCTATGTGTTTTCATACAACGATGATTACCTTGACCACAGACCAGGGCACATTCTGAAGTGGGTGGAACTTCGAAAGGAGAACTAAATAACTCCCCTCCAGAAACGACCGCCCTCTCACAACTCACAGACAGTTTTACCGATTTTCCCGTAATTCGGCCGTGAGAGTACAAAGTGCACGTGAAATGTGAACAACCAGCGATTAGGAAATTTTTTCCTCGGCCTGGTGCGACCCCCTCTGCTCCCACGTAGGAGATTTCCCAACACATCCGAGCTCACGCACGCACACGACCACACTGACGCCAATGTTACTTGCAATCTTTCCTCGGTTTCAATAGCGTAGTTACCTTTATAGGTGGGGTGGTTTACTGGCAGCGAGGCAAGCGCGGTTAGGGGACCAAATCCGCTCAGGTCAGCCAAGCCATCTATCCTCCGAGGACAACCGGATTCGTCAAGGAAGAAAACAATATCAGGAATGATAAAAACACACTTGTACATCCGCGCAGGCCCCGCAAGTATTTATAAAGGCCACATGGCTCTATTCTCCCATCAAGTTATTCACTGG